TAATTGAGGAGAGAAATCGGTGCAAGAAATCGGTGTCGCGGATTCGGTGTGCGATTTGTAGGTCACAAATGACGATGACGATGACGACGATGACGATGATTGCGATGGCAACAGCGGTAACGACAAGCGTGAACGATCGTCGCGGGGGCGGCAAAGGGTGGACGCGGGAGGATGCGAGTTTTGCGGGTCGAACTCGAGGTACAGGGTGGCGAGCGGAGAGAAATATTCTCGGGTGAGTGACGCGGGGAGAAGGCGCGGGTGGGAACGGCGCGGCGGAGAGAGAAACCAGAGGTATTGATTGCGACGCGACTCCAGGAACCTACCCGATACTCGACCGCCGGTTCTACCTACCTACCTACCTTTTGCCCACCGAAGCTGAGCGAGCGAGCGAACTAGCTAGCGATTATACTTCGTATATCCCGCGTTGCTACCGCGCATTCGTGCACGAGAGGAACGTTGCCACAGCAGCTGCAAGCGCGTACAAGCGTACTCGCCAGGCATCGCGTCGCGTCGCCTCGCGTCGCCTCGCGTTGCCGACTGGCTCTCTAACTTTCGCTCGATTTCACGTATCCCTCTGATTTTTCACCAGTTACATCCGCTCATCTCTTTCCTGCGTTACAAAAATTATTGCAATGCCATATTTCATCAAAGTAGCGTAAAATTGCATTTGTTACAACTTACAACAAACTTTAAATACAAACTTTTGCAATTTTTCCAAACAATTTCATACGAAAGGTTCATGAAAAAGTTAAAATATGTACAACATTAAATATGTATTTTTATTTTTTATTATAAATTTTTCTCAGAAAGGATTTGAATAAATGCCGTAGGAATAGTTAGAATAGACAATTTTTTAAAAACTGATTATACTTATTCTGTGTCGTTCGAGGGATAGTAAAGATAGTTAATCCGTTAGATCGATACGTATTATTTTTGTCCGTGTTTTTCATAACCGAGAGTACTATTCAAACAGATCCTTCTTCATTTCTTTGGATGAATCGCAAATTACCGTATCACTAACATTCACGGTTAGCAAATCATCCTACAATTTCACTATGCATTTTCGTTTACATGTGACGTTTTATTATTCACATCATGGATTAGCATGTATTTTCTTTCTTGACATAATAGACTTTGAATTTCTTAGGGATATTGTATAAAATAAAATAAAAAAAAATTAAATGAAACCCGAAAAGTATTATTTAAACACAAAAGAACGCCAAAACAAGTTTTGACTAAAACAAGTCTTGGTGCTTATTAGTATTCATTGTTAGTATTCATACGTGAATAAACAAGTATAATTATCAATTTTGTGGGTCGATTCAGTTTGCTGGATCTGAAACATAACCAGAAACTGAAATAATAATCTCACTCTGAATATGATACAAACTAAATTGATTGGAAATATTTAATTTTCTTCAACTAGTCGCTTCGTGCATTGATCTTTTCTTTACTTTATCATAATTAAATTTAGTATTTTATCTTCTACATATTTAAATTCGCGTATCGTCGGTTGTATCATATGTTTCGGCTTTGAAATGCTTACTCACGACAAATATCGGCGCAATTTTCCCGTCCTCATTTTCAACCGTCCGCCGATAATGTAATCGATGCCAATTTCAGTCGGGGCGGGTGTCCCGAGTGGTCAATTAACATCACCGGGAAGCGGCGGAGACCGCATCGAAGCGCCATCGGGCATCGACGGCGCGTCGACCGAATTCACGTGCATCTGCGCGCATATAACGCGCGGTGATCACGGCAAAGGGGTGGGTGGTGTCTGGTGGAGGGTGAAAGAGAACAGAGGGTGGGCATAGAAGAGAGAGGAAGCATGGAGTAGCGCACAGTAGGTCGCACTGAGAGAAGCCGTCAAAATGTCGAGGCCCCTGCATCCAGGCGGCACGACGAGCCGATGCGCGATGGTACGAATGGAGGTGGATGGTGTCGCGGTGTGCACCGGGTTGATCGCTGGTCATCGATCCACCGACGTGCCAATGCGAGAGAAGGATGTGTGTGTATGAGAGAGAGAGAGAGAGAGAGAGAGAGAGAGAGAGAGAGAGAGAGAGAGAGAGAGGAGAAAGGGTTGCAAAGGGAGGATTTGTTCGCCGATGCAACGAATTCGCGGTTCGCGCAGATCGTCGGAAGATGATAATGGAGAATATTTAATCGGCGAATGCACGACAAGATCGTGCCTGTCGTGACGTGTGTAATAATTGTTTATGGACAAGACGATTGAGAAAGGTAATACTCGTCATATCAGCGCGATCGATAGATCATAATCGCTTCATCGCGCCAGATAAACGCATCACGCCTAATCAGGAGGTCACGTGGGATGGGTCGTGTATGTTTCCACGAGGATGCATCCGGAAGACGTATTCGCCGAAGCACTTGCTCGACTACGATATAGCCGTCTCGGTCGAAACGATCAAGTTAATCCTCTTCGACCGTTCGACACTCTTCGAGTGTCGATTCTCCATGCTTTTGGTCGGAGAACATCATCCACACGACGCTCCCTCAAATCCGACAACTGACAAGGGAGTATGACAGAGACAGGAGAGAGAGAGAGAGAGAGAGAGAGAGAGAGAGAGAGAGAGAGAGATACGAATTATCGACTCTCTCGAAGCGAGCAATGTACGCCGCATACGGAACTACGTCGATGCGAAAGCTTTGCATGAGGGCTCCGGCTTGAAGCCATTGAAGAAAGCGACGACAGTGAAAGAGGAGAGGAGAATTTGCCGACGTCCCTCGTCTTCTCCTCTCAGTAACGGATTTAGAATCTGAAGAGCCCTAACGAGAAACAATATTACGAAACAATATTTCACAACTTATAATTAAAACGATTCTTTTAATTATATATTTCCAGCAGCAAAGAAATAATTATGTCATTTATAAATTATCTTTATTTATCAATTATAAATAATAATTATGTAGTATAATAATTAGAAAATTTTGCAGAGATAATGCAAGTGCAAACACATGCAAACGGTTTCGGAATTCTTCAATAACAATAAAAGGTTCTAAACGACTTGCATTTATCGATAAATCCGCCACTGTTCCTCCTTTACCTGCTCGCGTTCCACACACCGCGACACACCTCGTGACTCGCGACGCCCTCAAGAGGGTAGGGAATGTGCCCTCCACTCGTCCACCCCCTTTCGCGCCACTCGAGTTCGTCGA